GTAGACGAGCGATGAGCGCCGCGCGCCGTTCGGCGCCTCCGCCCGCCCTTACTCTGATAACCCCGGAACGTTGACCTCACATTAGTGTTTACTAAACTGGCGTCACACTCACTTATAAGACGTGCACCACGCCGTACTTGTTGCATTCGAAATATTGTCCCATGCGGAAACTAAGTTACTGTTGTAAGTTTCTTCACTGTTTTACTACCGCAGAAAGAAAGTTCACCCCGAGATTACAACCGTAGAGACCTTCCATGTTTAAAATCTAAACTGTTTCATTCGTAAGGGCTTAAATGACGTCAGTCTACAAGCCTCTAACACAGTTCATAGATGTAACGCCTGTCAGAAGTGCAGGATTATGGTCCTCTCTCTTGTTTATCCAGGATCTTTGGCTCCAGCGCTTATTAGGCGCTCTTCCTGCAAAAGTCAGGTTAATCCCGACGACCGATCGACAAATACCTACTCGTATACATAATTATCTATACCTATCAATATTATAAAGCTGAGAGTTTGTTTATTTAATGCTAATATCAGGAATTACTGGTCCGATTTAAAAAAATATTTTTGTGTTGGAGAACCCATTTATCGGGGAAGGCTTTAAAGGCTATATAACATCACCCTACAGCCAATAGGGACGGAGCAGTAAAGAAAAATGTTGGAAAAACGGAAATATTCAACGCGTAGGTACGAAGTCGCGGACACAGCTAATTTACCAAATATTAAGACTTCTTCACAACATCTAGGCAAATATTCCAACATTTTTTAACTCTCAAATTACGCTGAGATTCGTTAAAAATTGGAATCAGAACTTAAGTGAATTTCACACATTTCCTTACTATCTTCTTTGGGTCACTTTGGATCAATAATGTGCATTTACAAACTAATTAATTAGTTAATTAATCTTCAGTATCTAATTCCTTTCCAGACATCTGCATGTAGATCGTCTTATCTATTGGGTTCAGTCATTTTAATTGGATGAACGAATTCCTAAAACACACTATGGGCCTAATTTCGTATAATATAAATCTCAGACAAACGTATTGAACGAAAACATATTATTGTTTTCAAAGTTACTAATTTGATTTGCTAATAATATTTGGTGCATCATCCAGAAGATGCCGTTATATAATTTGGTAAATGAATGTAAAACATGGCATGCTTAATTCTCGTTAATTAATTAATTACATTACACACCACACTGAGAGCTTTATCACTTATCTTGACAATTTTATTTCTCCACTTGTGTAACTGTTTCTACAGTGACTTATCGGTTTTTACGGACAACCGTTTAATTTATAATTATTTTTTGTTTTAATCATCAGTGAGACAACAGTTTAAATAAATTTTAAAGTTAGGCAATGATACCGAATGAGTAAGGGCTTTTAAACACTTCTTATTACCGGTGGCTGGTGGTATAACATGGCTATTAACTTTATTACTTACCTACCTACTTATAGTTTTATTCATGTACTAGCTGCGCCCACAACCACAGAATAATAATAAGTACTACCACAACTTTGTACACGTGAAAATAGTTTGAATATTATTTCCCGTTTCCGCAACATTTTTCGCATTATTTTTTAGGGTTCTGTAGTCCTGACAAGGAACCCTTATAGTTTCGATATGTCTGTCTGTCAGAGGTTTTGCTAGGGATGGGCAAACGGAAAAAAAATATCGATATTTATCGTATCGATATTTTTCAAATATATCCATATATATCGCCCAAGAAATATCGATATTTCGATATATCGATATTTTTTGCCCAATTTGCAATTATTTATAAAAATGGCCAAAATTATCTAAATTTTAAAGAAAACACATGTCGCTGTTTCAACTCAAGTTGTAATATTTCAATTTATTTTTTCGAATGAGCAATTAAACATTGACAAAAAAAACATTATTCAAACCAGTATTTGTCTGATATTGACATCAGAGCCCCGATTACGGTAACTTTTAACGTTTCCAATCCAGACGCGCTTCATCGATTCTGCGATACGATTGGTCAAAACAGCTGACGTACGCTGTTGAACGACCAATCGAAGATTGGAGACGTTAAAAATTACCGTAATCGGGGCTCAGGAGCACTCTTTGTCTCACATCACAAGCAAGTCATAGAGCGTAATTTTTGTTTGTGTTTGAAGCAAAGAAACTAAACCCATACAGCTTACTGCATATTTACTAAATATAAGAAATCGGATTGGTCAAAAACATAAATGATGTTTCGCATGAGCAGACAGCAGAGCTTTAAAAATATTAAAATATATCGATTTTGATATCTGAAAATAAATATCGAAAATTGATATATCGCCGGAAAAATATCGCTAATTTATATCGATATTTTTCTGAAAAAATATCGATATTTTGATATATCGATATTTTTTACCCAATCCTAGGTTTTGCTTGGAAACTATTGGCACTAGAGAGCTGTAATTTTGTGGAAGTATGTAGGTATATTAATCACGTCGACCAAACGGTAAAATAAATTTAAAAAAATTTTTTTAGGGTTGCTCGGGTTGCTCCCCTACATAATTATGTTAAGTGGTAATGATTTTTTTAAATCTTCTACCCCATCGTGTGGGGTATCGTTGGATAGGTCTTTTAAAATGGCTTAGGGATTTCTAAGACTATTTTTCGATTTAGAGTTCCGTTTGCAAATTATTAAAATTTAAAGTAAACATTTTGTTCGAGTAGGGTGTCCCCCCCTCTAAAACTAAACTGTTGGCTTGAAAAATCTGGAAAAATTCATAATAAAACTGCTTTTCATGAATTTTCAAGGAAAACTCTAACGGTTATAATAGATCAGTAGTTTAAGAGTAATAGTAATTTAACTCATTTATTATAAAATTTCTTAACTAATAAAAAATCCTTATAAGAAAATATTAAAAGTGACTTTAGATGAAGTAATTGCTTGCTGCTGAAATATATTATGTTAACGACGGACAACTATGGAACCCCACACTGCGCGTGGCACGACACGCACTTGGCTAATTTTCTCTACTTTAGTTTTAATTTGTGAGGGGGTCAAAAATACCTCGAAATGATGTCTTTAATTTTAATGAATAATAATGTATACTGAAGTATAGTTACTTTGCGGCGATCTTACGCCTAAACTATTGATTTCTCAAAAAAATTGTTAGAGCATCAAATATAGAAAATTTTCTCTAGTTTATTTTTCTCCTATATCCTTTTTATCATATCGATACCTNTATCGATATATGAATAGAGAAGAATATATTTAACAAAATCTTCTATAAGGCTTAGTTTTTCCAATAGGTATGTCGGCGCCCGCGGCAACGATAGAAGGTCGCAAAGTTGAAAATCGGAAAGAGCACATCGAAATCTATATACCAATTTTCAAAACTCCCGGAAGCCTACCAAATGACTGGACTAAAAAGGAAAACTTTACTTACACGTGTACTTCTGTTGAAATATGGGAAGCCGAATAAAATTCCCGGCTGAAAGAGTTCCAAACAACTTTTTTCATGCTATTTCAGTTACAAAGGAGTCACGTTTCGGGGTTGGTCTGACTTTCAGGATGGAGAAAAGTTTTTGTTGTTCACGTGACGGGTTCTACTTCTAAAGTGCGCCTCGTGATCTACCCGAGAGTAATAAACGAAACAACAACGAAAAAGCTCAAAAGTATAAGCAACTTTCAATATTAATTCAGCAATCACTGACAAATATGACTGAGGTTGAATCTATTTTTTTTAATATCGTTTTAAGCTCATATTACCTATTATAGTAGACTCGGAAAGGGATCAACATCGTATCGTCTTTCGCGAGCTGTCATCGGCTTTCGCGCTCTGTCAACCCCTTTCCGGGTGATTGGTGTGCTACGTCCTTTATAATAAGTGCAGACCGGAGACTGAAGAACTGAATATTTCGACCATTATTTTACTGTACCCAATTTGATCGTATTTCATGTAACAAATTAAATTTGAAAATTTAAATTTGAATTCTGATAAAAGTTCATAACTATTTCAAATATTCTTTTGAACTACTATCCGTGGCACGGTGGCGCTTAGTTTAATTAAAATTTATAAGTACCTACCACTGTTAGTCAATGAAACATTGACAATTTGCCTAGTGGGCAGTACTAATTTGCTTATATGCAATGCACTAGCAACGGCTTGGAGTCCGATAATAAGTCCTAACGTGGCCCCGACCTACCGTGGTCCTCTGACCAACGCAACGGTCCCTAAGTCAGACACTCAGGTTCAGTACACGAAGGCAAGTTGATTGATGAATCAGACATAGTGTCAAGAATGTAATGAATGGGTAGGTAAGTACTCCTAATCATCCATACTACTACGAGCCACTCCTTTGAGAGCTGCATAATGGCATAATTGATTGCATGAATGAAACCCGCGGTGTGGTTGCCCTGCAGCGTTCAAGGTAGTCTTTCAGCTGGTATAGAGTACTAGTCCTCCTAACAAGTTATAATATCAGGGGAATAAGGTCAAGGATGATTTAAAGTAGATTTACTTAGCACCTAAAAAGATTGATGCAATTTTTATTTATGTTAGATGATCAATGTTTATTTTACGGGTCAAAAGTCTCTGACAACTCTAACGATCCACTGAGGTAAGAGTACCGAATAAGAAATGAGAGATATTGTTTAAAACTTTCACATAAAGTTCTGATAAATCCTCTAAATATAATCTAAATGTTCTTATTTGCGTTGCCTTTACAACATTTCGTAAATGGGGTGATCATTAAAGTGATCGTCTAACTAAAACAATATAATGTTACTAAAAGAACACTACTATAAATAATATTTGATACAATAGGGTCTCGTGTTACATCGTGAAAGATAAAAGTTATATCTGTCTTGAGAAATTATTTTTATACCCTTCGGTTGACTGCGCTCTCGGTGTCAACTGATATGAGACTTTGATTGTACCTGCTATCTACAAAAACGATTTTTGTTCGAAGTTATCTGCCTTTACTTTCAGTGAATTATTAGAATATGGTTGTGACTTTTCGGTGTTTGATTTCAGTGACTTGAAAGAGAGCGTGTTCACGAAGTTGGATCTCGTGGACTACTTCAGCTTAGCGGACAATTCGCTGGCTGACCTGCCAAGACACGTCCTCCGCCACCTGCCGCACGTCAAGACCCTTGATCTCTGCAGGAACAAGATCACGAAGCTGACCGAAGATGATTTCAGAGTAAGAATTCATTACTTCTTCTATTATTTCTATAAGAGTTACTACAAGACTATGAGAAAGTGCGAACTCGAGAATTGAAATACCTAACGTTACACGTTCTTAGTTCTGACCAATAACCTACTTCAATTACATCATCTACGTCGTATTCCTGAGCGATGACCGAGATTTATCTCTGTTGAGGTTAGACAATAGTTACGTTGGAAGATATTTATGGTGAATCGTGCCTACTTATTCATTCGATAGTACTTGAGAGTGATCCGTCCAGTCTGATGCTTCCCCCAATCCTTTTGGTCAGCGTTGAGAATGTGTTTATACCTAGCCATTGACCAGGCCGTGTGGTATCAAATGGAATATAATAATAACCGAATTCTAGATAATAAACTCGTATTAGTTCAAATACTCCGTTTGCCTCTGGTAGATTACAGCAGCGTGTTCCTGCAGTCAAGGCTAATTTAATGACCTAAGGATGAAGCTAATACTCAAATTTGTTTAATTTCAGGACATACAAGAACTAGAGCATCTGTTGGTAGCTGACAATCAGATATCCAAGATTGAAAGAGACGCCGTGCCAAAGGCGCTGAAACACGTGCACCTGGGCATCAACAAACTCATCAGTTTGAACGGGGCCCTTCGAGATCTGGACGACCTTGAGTGGATATTCATCAATGCCAACAACTTGAAATCTATTGACAATGAACTACCTATTGTAAGTTAAACGGGCCCTTTCGTATAGGTACGCTTGGCTAATGGCATTCAACTTAACGAAAACGTAACGTCGATATGGAGTACATCATGATGACATAAGGTGGGTGGACCATGGAAGGCCACTCTAACGAGTAAACGCTTTTTATTCCTTTATTAACTGGATAAATGAAAAAAACAAATTATCAAATAATAGTTTGTTTTATTGTGTACCATATAAATCACTTTTTTTTTAACCTAGCTTTAATCAGTATTCATTAAACTTAAGTTTTGTTAAGCTCTTCCAAATGGCCTTGCAAGCAACACGGCTCCAAACAAGGCCAATATTATACATCAGTCGTTCAACTTAAAAATAGAGTTGTAACAATTAATATATTCGCTTTTACTAAAACTACATAATAAGCTCTTTCATTTAAGCAAAACATTAAATGCTCAATATATTTTTATCATTTATAAAAAACTCAAAGAACATTACTTGAACACCATCGTATAACTAAGAATATATTGGCCTTGTAAGGAACCATTGGCTTTGCTGGGAACACTACCAATATTTTAACTTAAATCGAGGCAAAACTATTATTTTTTTCTTTAGTACCATAAACATATCCTTATACGACAGTTCACAGTAAAAAAATATGAAATAATAATAGGTTATCTAACTAAAAACGTACGTTTTGCTGTGCGCGCGAATAACAATTGTAACGTCGATGACCGAAGTCCACGAATCATGAGATCGCACTGCCACAATAGCGGCGCGAGCGACTCGCCGCCGCATCTGTGGCCTTAAGTTTGATGGATCTTAGTGTATAGCCGAAGGAATATGTCGTCAGTTGCAGGTTCACTTGGGGTAACTGACAAAATACAGTTTTTCAGTAGAGCCGTTTAAAGTTTTTTTTCGTCTTTAATCGGACATAACTTTTTTCCTATTTAACCTTTTTTGGATCTGTTTTTACATAAATGCTTAGAATTCTACGCGGTTTTAGATAAAATAAAAAGAATTATCTAATATGTCTTAGTTAAGGAAATAAATTGCAGTTACACCAATGTATTTTTGTACTTTTGACAGTTACACCAATTTTAAACCATACTTTTGGAAAAAACATAGGTCAAATTGGTGTAAGTACTGCCCAAATTAAAATAATTTGATGTATTTGCTGGGTTTTGTTTACTTAGTTGCTGTATAATTTATGTAAAAGTATTAAAAAATAAGAGAATTCACGAAAAAAAAATACATTTTGTCGTTTTCTTTATTTTTTTTTAAATTTTATTAGAAGTAACTTTTATTTTGTTAATCAAAAAATGTTAAAAAAGCCATGAATATCAAGAAAATATGTGTATTTAATTTTTTTAAGACAGAAATATTGAAATTACTAAAGTATTACTGTGAAACTAAATAATTTCAATATTTTTTTAAGCTTTGACTTACCAATACCGTATTTAGCTCTACGGGGCAACTTAAACTGAAAACAAAATGGATTTAATTTCCCACCTATTTATAGCAATGTTGAATTAATTTCATGAGTACTACAACAGTAAAAGTAACAGAGTAACAACAGGTTAATGTTAGCAACACGCAGTGACGCCTGGTTGGCTGGATAGTTGCTCAATTTCAATTTTTTTTTGTTGAGCTAACTTTAACTTCTTTAACCGATACTGCTGGTATAATAATAATGTAATATGCCTTAAAACTTTCTAAATTCCTATTTTATTTCATGTTATAAACCTTAGCAAATCAGTGTAATTGCAAAGTTTTGTAGCAAAATTTTTACATTATTACAGATACACCAATTCAACCTGGTAAAATTATAACAATGTCAGTTACACCAAAATTGTGAAGGAAATCTGAAAAGTTCACACCTGAAAATGTCCGTGTAATTGTATTTTTTTTAAAGCTAGAATTTTTTTACGTATACCATTCGAAAGAGCAGAAAAAACTAAGAAAAACTGTATATTTAACTCAAAAACCGTATTTTGTCAGTTACCCCAAGTGAACCTGCAACTGACGATATATTTTCATGTCAATAACTACGACTTTTTGATAGTTGGCCTTCAAAGGAGCGTGGCCTTCCATGGTCCACCCACCTTATTAGATCAAGTAGGAATACGTGTTGTGGAGTATAATGCAACCGAGGGTTCGGTCCCTATGAGATGAATGTTTACACAAACATTGACGATGGTCCCATCCGATGAGCTTTTATGGTTTTCAATTTATTATTCGTATCTCAGACACACACATTCAGAATTATTTACGAGATCATTCTACGAGTTGAAACCAGCAACTCTGAGACGGTAGTCTCTCTTATCACTAATCTATATCAGACACCGGAGTGTTCTTTATCTGTGTAATTACTTTTTTAAGTACTAAGACATTTTAATTTCAGAAAGCTAAAAAGATTACACTTATCCATGCTGCGCACAACGAATTGCAAAACTTGCCAAAAGATATGAAGCAAATGCCATCACTGGAGTCTCTATATTTTTACGGCAATAAGATCAAGTCTCTCGATGGAGCTTTACAAAAATCTAGACGTTTACAAAGGATCGGCTTATCTTTTAACAAAATAGAAAGCGTAAGTAACATAATAATATGTATGAAAAACAATGGTTGCATTTAACTTACAGAGTAATGCCATAAACAATGTCTTAACGTAAAAACACCATCGTCTTTAAAGATGCTTAATAATATCACTGCTCTTAGGTTTCACACCTAATTTACTTACATCTACTCAATCAGGGTACAAGCACAGAATAATGTAGTACTGTACAATTAATCAATTTTTATATTTTTAGTTGGCTGAAGACGAATTTAGCGAAGCAGAAAAATTAATGGACTTAGATATCGCTTACAATCAAGTCAAATCTTTAAACGGTTCGCTGAGAAGTTTGAAATCGTTGAGATATTTGAATTTGACCCATAATTTCTTGACGGAATTTTCCTTACAAGAAATCAAGGGATTGAAAAGGTTATCTGTTATAGACTTGTCTCACAACAAAATATCTCATATAACGGGAAGTATGGAAGTGAGTATTGTTTCACGGAGACCAATATCATTGTAATGGGTTCTTTAAACTAATCAAATTTAAATTTTCAGAATTTGGTGGACGTTGAGACCCGTGTGTTGGAATTAAGATTGGACCATAATTACTTAATGAGTTTAGGAGGGGCTTTGATGGGCTTGCATGGTCTTTTGAGACTAAACTTGAGCCACAATCAGCTGCAACAAATCTCTCCAGATGATTTGATTGGCCTCGACGAGTTAAAACTGCTTGATGTCTCTCATAATCACATTACGTCTTTAGAAGAAACGTCGAAGGTTTGTCTTGTAGATAAATATCCCTTAAATTAGCCCGTAAGTCGCTAAGCGAGCTAGTGCGAACAATATTAATGTTATTTCTTTGTGTTAAATGATGCAAAAGCGAATGTTTTGCATATTGAGCTGAATCTTATCGGTTTTCTTTTGTGTTTTCAGACCTTTTTGCCTTCTCTGGAAGAATTATTAGCTCACCACAACAATATTACTTTGCTGGATAAAGATTTCCATGGCCTGCCATCTCTGTGCATGGCTGATCTTTCATACAACCAGATACAATCTGTGAATTATGATCTCGTTTCAAAGTCAAGGTGCACCATAAACGGAGTGCCCAGTATTTTGAAGATTTATCTTCAAGGTGAGTCGGTAATAATGTCAACAAATATGTTAATTTATTTAGCATTTATTTAATAGGTACCATACTTATAAGAAGTAAAATAAACAAAGTGTCATGCACTTTGACCTATTTAGAAATGCTTAAGCTTAGCCAAGGCGAAATATTACGTGACGCAGAATGTTTTTGAGCAATGCGAAATATGATTTTATTAATTTAATTCTGCCAAAGTTTATTACATCATGAAATGTTTCCTGAAAATTTCAACAAATCGTTATTGCAGAGCATGAAATGAATAAAATGCTGTAATATTAGCAATTTACGTGATACGGAGCGTATTGCGTTACAGATAACCCAGTGCTGTGCGACGATCGGCTGTTTGAGCTCATGACTGTGCTGGAGAGCCTGAACGCGCGCGTGAGCGGCGTGTCCACGTGCGTCGCCACGCAGACGTCGGCGCCGGCGCTGATGCGCGCGCTCAACGACATCGTGCCGCAGAAGGAGAGCCCGGGCCTGCCGGTCATCATGGTGGCGCGCATGGAGCCGCCGCATGTCGAGCGCCAGCCGCTGCCGATCACGTACCAGCGGGTGGGCGCGCTGATCGGGCACGTGCTGCCGGAGCGCGAGGGCGGGCTGCCCGTGGTGGTGGAGCCGCCGGTCACGCTGCCGCCCAGCACCAACGTGGTGGTGAAGTGGCCCGACGAGCGGCGGGCGGACGAGCGCGCGCCCGCCGCCCACCCGCTGGCCGACCACCTGCGCCTGCGCGACTTGGACGCGTCGTCACAGTGAAACGCAAGCGCCACACGCCGACGCCATCGAACTGAGTGAAGTGATTAGTAAATACGCTGCCTCGATCTAGCAGGGCGGTTCTGATTCGGCCGGGTGCATGGAATTTTCTCAAAATAGATTCCGACTAGGTTTGCGATGTACAAAGCCGTTTACGCTGAATTGTATCAAACAGATAATACAGTACAATAATTTAACGTCAAGCTATGTGTATGTGCCTTTAGATTATTAGATATAAATAAACGTTTAAAGTTGTCGAATTTGTTGGGTTTACAGTCGGTCTGCGTGAATGTGAGGCCGTTGCCGATCTAGTACGTTATGGTATAGTAACAAAATTGAAACAAAGATTAAATAACTAGTAAAATTTTTCTTTGTATAAATTATTGAAAGTGATCCAAAAAAATATGAAATTGAGATATTATTGTTAAGATGATAGATATGTAGGATAATTTATATTCGCCTATTAACATTACCTAATAAAATATGTCTAACAAGCTAACTCTCTCTGACGCCCGTTATTATTAAATGTTTGTCAAGTACGTGTGATAATGCCATAAGAATAATAAACGATTGCTTAGTAAGAACATTATTATTTTTAATGATGCGGTAATCTACATATGTATTATTCTTTTGGACTGTCTTTCAATTTCCTTAGTAGGGATGTGCCATAGGTATTAGTTGTTCTATTTAAAGTAGCAGATCTTGGGTTATTATACATTAGTGCCCATGTAAGAAGATTATAAATAAATAAATAATTGTAGTTGTTGTTTCAAATAAAAATAATTTTAACTTTACCAAGTTTAGATACAGGTGTTCATTTGAATGTACCTATCTACCTACTTTGTAGTTATTGTAACCGAAATTTTAACTAAAAAGTCTACCTTACGCTTTATGCTTACGTCATTATTCGGCGAGATTGCGCGTAGACTTGTGCAGAAAAGCAAAAAAAGTTCCACATAAGTAATCATAGGCTTATATTATTACATATGTGAGCAAGTATGCATCGTATTTTTGCATGAAATCGAAAAGTATAGCTACTAAGTATTAGGTGCCTACTATAGGTACATTTACGTTACTTACACAACAAAAATACCTTACCTTTACATTCATAGGGATTTATCTTTTTATAAACAAAAACGTGGTGACCACGAGCTGGAAGACGTTACTTAGTGTGGGCAGGCCCCACACTAGGTGGACCGACGATCTGGTGAAGGCCGCGGGAGGTGCCTGGATAAGGTCGCGGGAGGTGCTTGGATAAACAGTTGCGGGAGGTGCTTGGATAAGGTCCCAGGAGGTGCCTGGATGTGGGCGCTGCAGGACCGGTCTTTGTGGAAATCCTTGGGGAGGCCTTAGTCCGCCTCCAGCAGTGGATGTCATTCGGCTGAAACGAACGAATACCTACTTATACCAAAAACATGATGTATACTGACGGAGGCGCGTTAGCTTTCACATGTGTGGTGTGGCGGCTCGCTACTGTTCGTCTTTCAAAAGTTTTGATAGACACATTACTTACACAAGTAACGCTCACTCGCCTTCGTGAGTTGCAAGAACTAAGACTAATTATACCAAATATTCAGCCGGCTACCTACCATATGGGTGAATTTCAACAAGTGCATATTTTTGCCTAATTTTGGTGGAAATTGTTATTTGTGTATTTTTATTCTTTAATTATAGATCAAATTTATTGGAAACTTATACTGTTTCTAAAATGATTAAGACATTAAATTTTATCCAGTAGTTTTTTAAATTTTCCTTACACCAAAATTAAGAGAACACCAAAATTTATATTAAAGCACCAAAATTAGAAAATATGCTGTCAGTCGGTCATATCTTAGTGCCAAGCTCAAGAAATGCTTTTAAATTTACCAGCACCGACTCCAAAAATATTAATCATGGTATATTGTCCTAATAAATAAATAACGACGTACTTATTTTCTACTTTAAGTGAATTTTGGCGTCGGTTTTAATTTTTTTGTTAAAATTATTTTTTTTCATGCTTTNCACTCATCTGTGTACCTACCTATGTCTTTGCATATTGTTTCTTCTGCTGTAGAAAATTGGAAATTTTTGATAGGTTACCAAATTAAACTCAGTGTTTGAAAAATGTTGATCCAGAAAGAAAGCAAAAAAAAGTTGCAGTTAAACGATGGTTAAACACGTTTAATGACTTTTCTTTTAACGATTTTTGCACACCGGGTGGGTTCGATCCCTGCACTATACAAACACTTGTGTACGCACACAAGAACTTTCCGAAGTATTACTTTACGGTGAAGAGGGCTATAGGGCCAAGGTGTGTCCGGCTCAAGTTCCCCGCTGTCTGTTGTGTGCAGTAGCTGGTAAGGCCGTGGAGCACATCATGCTGGCGGCAAAAGATAAGATTGCCCTCAACCGGCGCAGCGAGCCGGCACGCGACGGCGTTCCGCATGGAGGTAGACGAGGGGTCGTCTACCTACCTCCTAACATTGAGGCCCAAAGTGAGAGAGTTGCCCTTCTGAGGGTGACAGTTTAGTGAGGCTGCGGCCAAAGCGTGGCGGTACGCATGTTCACGACTTATATAACGGCGCCTTGCGTGCTCCCACTAAGCGCCACCCGAGGGACCCGTCAGGTTTTTAGTAGGTAAGCCCTGCCCTTCCATTCTTCAGGGAGAGCCCCACATAGCCCACCGGAACTTCCGGACCGGTGGGTATCCATTTCAATACATTTCCCCTGACGAATTTATAGGGGTTGAGTTGTCATGGGATGACTTGCCATAGGAGTTGACTAGTCGCCGGGGTTGACTTGTCGTAAGGTTGATTACGGACTACGGTATTTATTTTTCCACCAACAATCAATTGACGTACTTATTTAATTGTCAAACTCGCGCATAAGCGCATTTTCCGATATTTTTATTTTCTTGTATAAAAAATTCCGATCGACTTTTTTCACTATAGAAAAATTTCTTGGTATGTTAATTACCTTGTACAAAAATAAGGTATCTTCGCAGTATTGCTGATTGGTCTGGTAGGTTCGGAGTAAGGGTCAATCCCGGCAAGTGTCAGGCAATAGTGCTGGGGGGCTCTAGGCAACTGGCTAAATTGGATCTGGGATCGGCTCCCAGTGTTGTCTTTGACGGAGTTGTTGTTAACTATTCTCCGTATGTGAAAAATCTTGGACTCGTCATTGATAGCACTCTGAGTCTGTTGGTCTCAGCATGTCAAGGAAACCAGCAGAAAGGTGATTGGCACACTGCGGGCACTGTACCGCTTCAAAAACTTTCTACCCTCCAGCACAAAGACCTTGCTTGTGCGGTCCCTGATCCTGCCTATTCTTGATTATGGTGATATATGTTGCACGGACATCTCACAGGAACTTCTGAACAAGTTGGACCGCCTCCTGAACAACTGCATCAGATTTATTTTCGGCCTCCGTAAGTTTGACCACATCTCGTCTTTTCGCTCACAGCTTGGATGGCTTCCCATTAGACAGCGTAGAAACATTCGTTCTCTCTGTATGCTTCACTCGATTCTCTTCAATCCTGACTCTCCACCTTATCTAAAAGAGATGTTCCAGTACCTTCATTCTACTCACAATAGAAATCTTCGCTCTAATCAGACTCTTCAGCTTGTCACCCCTCGCCACACCACCGGCTTCATGTCTAACTCCTTCTCAGTCTCAGCAGTACGGCTCTGGAACGGCCTTCCGGCGAGTTTGCGAAAAGCAACCTCCAAATTTACATTCAAAAAGGCTCTGCGCAACTATTTCAAAGACTAAAACTTTTTTTTTTTTCTCTTATCTCTGACAGGTGTTATGTGTACGCCAATATTATTATTATGTTTATGTATCTAGGTGTATGTCTATTATATTAATATGTATTCGTATGTTATTTATTTTATCTAATGCTATGTAAGTATATTCATTAAACGTCATATTTATTACACCGCCTTAGTCTCTCTGCTCGACCTGTGGTTGACTGGCAGATAATGCCACCTGGCATTAAGTCCGCCACTGTACAGTTGTATGTGCAAAAGTGTAAATAAAAAATAAATATAAAGAGGAAAGATTTGTTGTTTGTAAATAATTGAAAGCCTTGCTAATAATTACCGTGTTTTTCATTTATCTACATATTTGAACTGAATAAGATAAAGTTGTTATAATGTGCAACATTTTTTTACTGTTTTGTACCACAAAATGATAAGGAACCCTAATACTAATAGGGATTATTATATCGCTCTAATGCGGAACCTTAGTGGAAACAACCGACTCGCACTTGCCCGATTTTATTAATAATAAAATCCCTATTAAAAATACTCACCAGTTCAGTTTCACAACCATTTCCCTTGGAGAGTATTTTGTCAAAAAATTAAAACAAAAATAAAACAAAACACTAACGGCTATCAAAAATAAATAACAACTTTTTATATCACAATAAACTGGAATGTATAACTTTTAAAAAGTAGAAGCTATCGCTAAGTTTTTATTGAGCTTTCAGACCACTTTTTCTTGAAGAATATGCTGTACATATACAGCATAGTATGTTTTTTGAGACTTTTTTTGGTTTGTTTACGGTTTTTTGAGGCGTCCAATTCGAGAGGGAAGCTAGAGGCTACTGGCGGAATTCGGATAAACAAGTCTGGACCGAATTAAAATGAAACTTGCTTGCCAAATCCATAAATAAATGGTTGGAGTAATGATAATGTTGGGTGCGGGGTACAATGTTGGATAGTTGGAATGATATCGACTACCTGTAGCCTACGGCTTTACGTATGTACCTTTTTTACGTGGAAAAAATGCATAAAACTGCATACCCGCCGCTGTGGTCAGGCGACGGGTTATGTGGGGCTTTCCCTGCCAGAAGGGGAAGGCCTACCCATCCACTAAAACGACCACGAATATCCTTTTTTCCGAGCATAGGGGAAGTGCCGGTATAGCGAACCTTAAACCTCCTCATTAATTAAAGTTACACCATAGCTGAACCCTGTTTTAAAATGACGTTTAGTATGCCAATGTCACTATAAAACAGTGTTCAACTAGGGTGTTACTTTTTAATAATAAGGGGGATAAAGTAGACAGTTCCGTACGTTGTTGTTGTATGAGAACACCCCTTAAATATTTATTTTTTTCTGTTGGCAGTATTTGTTGATAATAATATAGCGGCAACAGAAATACATCATTTGTGAACATTTCAAATGTCTAGCTATCACGGTTCATGAGAAGAGTGCAATTAATTGTTAATCTTTGTTCAATGTACTTTATTTTTAAGCCATGATTTGCATTATGTTGCTGTACCTGAATAAATAAATAAATAAATACAGCCTGGTGACAGACAGACAGCAGTCTTGGTAATAGGGACCCGTTTTTACCCTTTGAGCCCTAAAAGTGCTGTTTTATAGATATTTTAGGACTAGATGGCGCTGTTTCTTCAAGATGCATGTCCAAAAGTATTTATTTACTTATAAATATGTTTTGGATATCAAGTTTTAGGGACTATTCATTTTTATGATAAGGTTTTGGTGTCGTTCAATGTCACTTTACAGTGTATTTTATGGTTATTATAATCTTCTACACAACGTTACTATTGTAAAATTTAGTTTACACTGGCTTCACT